AAATAACAATAACATTTATTATTTTTGAAATACGAATCTGATAAATTCATGAATATAGAAAGCTCTTCTTGCTGGCTGTCCACCAAATGGTAATAAAATCAAGCAGGATTTTCTGATAGACTTTTCTTGTAGATTTCTAATGCATTTACTCCAGACATGCATCTATCACTGCTCAGCCATCAGCTCCTGGCCCTGCATTGTGTTTGGATCCACTTTCCCTCAATGACAGCAGTGGGATCAGGCATGCCTGCTCACCCTGTGATGCAGGCAGCATTTTCCTTCTCGTATTGTTCAGGATATGGCATCAGCTGTTCTGCCTACCATTGAATAGAGCATGGGGAAGGCAGGGATCAACATGGAGCAGATCAACCTGCTCAGGACACTGTGGTAACAGAGCATTTACAAATGTTTGTTGTGTTATAAAACCACCTATTTTTAGAGGTAAAGCAACCACTTCTCTGGAGTTTTACCATTCTACAGCATTTCTCTTTTTTTGGATCTGGGATCTCTGTGGGGTCCAGCAAAACCAGGCTTGCAGCAGTGGGTAGGACCTGACCTGCTCACACTTGAACAGCCTGCAAATTGCTGATGGGCTCTGCTTGGTGGGGGTTTTTGCCTGCAGGATTGACACAGCCTGAATCTCAGTGGCTGAAATATAATCTGTAGCATGTATACTGGTAGTTTACACTGGCTCTGGCCAGAGGAAACAGAGCTGTTTCTAACAGGAGGAGATTTTTAGAAAGTGTTTTTGCCAAGTGAGGCCCCCAAAGTCTAATGGTGTTTGCACACTGATATACCAGCACAAAAGGCCTTCGTGATGTAAATGCAGATTTAGAAGCACCCCCAACCAAACCATCTCCTTCTATCAACATCATGTCTTCAGTTAACAACCCCTCTTAAAAAAACCCGAAGGTTGACCAATGCATAAACCCGTTAAAATTAGTTAGTTCCCCAAAGTCCTGATATTACCATTTATAAAGTAATATCACAAAGGCTGACAAATTAAAGCAGAGGAAGGCTGCAATAATGCCCACGTGTTTGCAGGGAGTGATGATGTCACAAGCTGGGAAGTTACAAAAGGCTTAACAAAGAAAAATGAAGCATATGAAAGTAAACTCTTCTCATAGTGCAGATATGGTGGCCTCCTTTTTAGTTGTTATGCTTGCTTTATCTCTAAAGCTGTGTGGACGTTGCAAGTGTTGGCAATATAAGTACAGAAACCTGCCATGGTTTAAACCCAGAACAGAGGAGGTGAAGGGGGTCTAGTTGCTATCTTTCCCTATTTAAAAGTTTATAGGAAAGGCTGAAGAGATTATAGGGAAGTGCACAGCAAAACTGTGAAAGGATATGGTGAAAAGTAGGGCTGTGCCCAGGGCACCAGTCACAGCTTCTCAGTGACAGGCACATGAGTTTTATTGCTGTAACTTCCGGAGATGGTGTTTAGATGGGCTGAAACTTCCTAGAAAGAGGTCTTTGGAGCTACTTCATCAAACAACAGCATCAGCTGCCTCATTTGGAAGAAGTGTCTGTGTTTTAGAAGGGAGATACGGTGAGTGTGAGAGGGTGATAAGCCCTGAGGAATTTATTTAACCCCTGTGCTTGGCAGTGGTCACAGGCGTAGACCTGAGCAGACCTTTGGTAAGGTTTAAAAAATGAGATACTGTTTAACATTATTCAATAACCTGTTATGGGGGATGTTGAGAGTATGTCCAGAAATATTATAATGTGTTATGCTTCTAGGGGAATGACAGTGCCTGCAAGGAATGCTTGCCTTCAGACCCTGGCTTCTCTTCTGAATGGGTGAGAAATCATCCTTTTGAATGTTACTGGAGCCAAATCCAGACCAGCAGCTGGCTGGATTCATGGAAAGCAGTGCTCAGCCATTGCTGGAAGCATCCTTGAGCAGCCACATCAATGCACCTCCATTTTTTGAGACCTCCAGAGCAGAACAAAGGATATTTATCCTTTTGTGGTGCAAATTCCCAAGTTCGGGAATAAAATGAACCTCATCTCTGAGTGGAGCAAGGGTGATTTTGTAGGATTAATGTCTCTAAGATTATTCAGGATAAAGAGAAATCTAGACCGGGTCTAAGCAGGCAGACCAGGGGTCAAAGCTAGTGCAACACCTCCCTTATGACCATGATGAGTTTCCCGTGGTACTCAAGGTACAGATTCTGCCTGCAGACTCGCATTTATTTGGGCTCCCCCTTCAGCGAAGCAGAAAACAAGCTCCTGTAGAGGGCAATGCAGAGCATCACCCGGATTTTGGCTACTCCCTGTACTTCACTTTTTTTCTGACGCGGGTGTGAAGCACGCAGCGGTCTCAGCCCAAGTAATGTGTCTGTCCCATCCACCAGCTCAGCCCCCAGCTCCATGCACAACACGCTCACTGGTAAGTGTGAACATACCTGTTGTCTCACTGCTGCCTTTCCAGCAGACTTTCAGGAACTCAAACTTTCATGCTGAGTTGGCAGCGCACAGGCAAGACTGTGGCAGTGGTGTCTGGCCCCTCACACCATGGAGCAGAAGAAGGGGGCAGAGTCCAGGTGAGAAGCTGGCAGCTCATGGCAGCTAGGTGAGGGGCTGAGAAGGTAGAAAGAGGTTTTGCCTCAGTTCGTCTGACATATTAAGATACAGGATGAGTCCAGCCCTCAAAGCATGTTTCTGAGGCAGAGATGCTCATGTAGGAGATTAGAACCCAGCCAAATCCTGGACTTTGCCTGTAGAAGTGCAGAGGTAGATAGAAGAATCTCCTAAGATAAGTAAACACATTTGTACCTCAAAGTGCTTTCCCAAATGCTCCCACCTAACAGCCAGGGTTGTGGGCAGCCTGTATTCATGTTCACTTTCTGCTGCACCTTAAGCCTGTAATTTTGGCTCGTAGTTTCATCATCTCTGCTATATGCCAGTGATACAGGCTGCTCCAGGTTATAACTTTAAACCATCCCTTCTGTAGAAGTAGGTTGCATAGAAAACTCTCATCCTAACTCCAGGGCAAAGGTCTCAGTAACACATCAAGGCAATGGAGGGAGCTGGTGCAGGAGGGGGATGCTTTCATGTTGTGCAAGAAAAAATGGGGGCTGAAACTGTTAATAATAGCTGCTGTCTGATCCCGTACCTGCCCCTATATTAAAGCACTCTCTAGGCTCAGCAGACACTATGCATGTGAACTGGAAAGGCATGGATGGATGGATGGACAGATAGATGAATATGTTCATCCCTGGAGGAGCTCCCTGCTTTGGAGTTGGACACTGGCCATACTATTTCCTTGCAGGTCAGACTGCTAATGATGGACCTGAGCAAGTGTTTGCTAAAGGAGAGGGTTATTCACAGGGAGGTGTGTCAGGGCATGGGGGCTTCTCACCTACGTCACTGCCCAAGGAATTTCTATGGAATAGGAGCCCTCCTGGCATTTTCACCCAGGATGCTATCTAATGATTAAGCCCTCATTATCTCGATGGCTTTCCTTGGTACTGTTTGCTCTGCCTGGTTGCGGCAACGCTGCCCTTGCATCCTCTGCCAGCTATCCGCAGCAGGAAACACGTACACGGGAGCACAAACAAAGCCAGGGGCAGGCCCCCTGCACCCTGTGGTGGGGCGAGGTGGGGTGCCCCCGAGGTGGCCAGGAGCAAACGGGCACACCCTGCCGTTTTCAGCAGCTAGCTTTTGAGAGCAGGCACACTGTTTTTTTGCTGCCCTCACAAGCTGCGGAGAGGATGAGCTGAGTCCTTTTTTTGGTGGCTTATAAGCACTAAGTGGTTGCTGTTGACGGAGAGAAGTGGTTTTCTGTGGCCACTGAGTGGTTTTGCCATGCTTGCATGTGCGCAACAGGCAGGGCTGAAAGCACATGTTGGCTGAATAGTTTCCAGCCCTGCTGATAATCTACATACAGAGCCTTGCCAAAAATCAGGAGGAGAAGAGAAAAAGAGCAGGTGGGGAGCTGCAAAGAGCCTGATGGTTGTGGGTAACCTGAAGCCAGAGGTTGCATCCTAGCAGGATACTCCAGTCTCCTTGCATGGGCTGAGTGGTGCTGTTTCAGCACAGGTCAGGGTTTCAGGAAGCATCATAGATCCACAGAATGGATTGGGTTGGAAGGAACCTTAAAGCTCATCCAGTTCCAACCTCCTGTCACAGGCAGGGACTCCTTCCACTAAGACCAGGTTCTCCAATACCTATCCAACCTGGCCTTGAACACTGCCAGGACAGATGCACTGGGGAGATGTCTCCGGCACTACAGCTCCACCTCTCTCTTACAAATTCTGCTGTCCCAGCACAGGATGGCCACTGAAATTCATACCCCTTATACTCCAGGGCCAGGAAAGCTTTGGGGTATCCTACCAATTTGAAGTGGATCATCCCAGTTCTAAGGACACCTGATGATGTTCCTGCACCCCTCAAGGCATCCTCCTGGGGACAGGCTGTGGGGACAAGCAGAAGCTCTGACGGATCAGCAAACCTCCCTGCCTGCCTGATCTCTAATGGGAAGCTGGTCAGGCAGCCAGTTCAGGATATGTCATGTTATTTGGAATGTATAAGAGACCCTGTCATTGCCTTTGGAAGTATTCAGAACATCAATGCCATTCAAACAAAGCTCTTTTTTGCTATAGGGCAAAGAACAGTAAAGTAGCCTCCATAAGCATGGTTTCCATACAAAGAGAGAAGACTTAATACACTGCAAACCACCCTGAAAAGATGCAAAGGGGACCCACTTTGCTCAGTCCCACCCATCTCTCACGAGTGGTGGGGCTCACGTTTTGCTGCCCAAAGCACCTTGCACTGCCTGTTCCTCTGTTCCTTGCACCTTCGAAAGCACAACCCTAGCTCCTTGCTCAGCCTTATCTCAGTACACCAAGAATGCAAACACCAGAGCTGGTGGAGAACAAGCCATGAGGCTGCTCCAAGCCCCAGCAGGGCAGAAGATTGTGGAGAGGTAGTGCAGAAGATTGTGGAGAGGCAGTGCAGCTCCTCTGGCGCAGGCAAAGGGCTTACCAGCGGCTGTGGATACCTTCCAGTGTGGTTCAGCTTGGCTTTACTTCCCAACATACTACACACTGCCAGCTTTTTGCAGCCAAGAGGTGAGTTTTGCTTTATCTCTAAGCATGTCAGGTTGTAGAATCAGAAAACAGGTGAGAAGCTGTGCAGTAAGAAGCCGCTTCATTTGCATGTGTTGCTGGAGGTTGGAACGGCTGTTTAATTACAGTCTGCAATGAATGCGATATATTCTTCGACAGGTTTTCCATTTGAAAGAGGTTTCCAAATGTGCCTGGTGTTAAATCTGTAAGGAAGTTGGCATTGAAGTGCACAGACGTGCGCTAACTCGAATCTAGCTGTAATTTACTCAAGTAGATTCTATAGAGACATGGAAATAAGCCCAGGTAGATTCAAGGGATGCTGTGTGTGTTACAAACATGGACTGCCTTGGAGTTATTCCCTTCCAGGAGAAAGAAGGACAATCACCCAGCTGGATGGGTGCAGACCCAAACACAAAACCCGCTGGTTCTCAAAGGAAAGATGCAGTGTTTGGAATAAACAGGAGGATGGGAGTCTCTCTTTTGAATCTTGAGGGATGCTCAAGCTGCTGCTTCAGGAACCCCAGCGTTTGTAGGGTCAGGCTGTGATATGGACGGGGTGTGCAGGGCTGCCAGCACCCTGGCACATTGATTTACTCCCTTTGGTGGCATTTACTGAAAAACACCCAGTCCTATCTTCCTGCTGCACTTGTCTCATGAACACCTCAGACAAATCATCACATGGCAGTAACAGTACTGTAGTGCACTGGCATTCGTAGTAATCTCTCTTGTAGTCTCCCACCCGTTTTCATCCTGCACTTGAAATACTGAAATTGCCCTGAGAAAAGAAATATCTTTACAAGATGGGCCATCAAGCCAGCATGCCGTCTGCTGCATCCAGAAAAGCAACCCACTCAGCAGGGTAATCTATTCAATGGCTGGGATTTATTTTTAACATTTGGTTCTGCAGTCCTTTTAACTTGAGCGGGAAAGTGAACATTTTGATAACAGCAGCCTCCAGGTCAAATGTGATGAGAATTCATAACCCGCCACATAGGGGTTTTGGAAAACCAACCAAGCAAAACAATTTCCCAGAATGAGACGATGAAGATTCGTGTTTCTCTTCACAATGTCATACACAGAGCTGGGATGTGTTGGAGTGTCAACTCATTCTCTCCCCACAATTTGCAAATAAAATGCCTCCTGGACTATTTTAAATTTGAATGACTATCGCTAGCACAGCTTTGCTAGGGTGCTCATAAAGACATCGGGTCTTTAGGCCATCAAAGGAGAAATATTAATCCAGTAATAGGAATGTCCTGATGGTCTTATTTCTAATCAAAGCAAAGTCTGGGTTTTCTGCTTCAAGCAAACATTGCCAAGAGAGTGGCATCAAGATATTTAAAATTGCAAGGAAAAGAAGGAGGGAGCACCAGTCCCTGGAATACAATGGAGCAACAGCACAGAACAGCAGCAGGTTTAGGTCAGAGCTGAAAACAAGCAAGCTTGAAAATTGGCAAAGCTGAGATTGGCGAGAGAGCTATGAGGGGGCAACTTTTTCTTTCTGTTTTATCTTCAAATAGCTGGAGTAAGTGAGAAACGTGTCTGAGAAAGAGGCAGGATGGGACTGTAGAAGGAAATGTTGTTCAAGCAATGTAGCTGTTTTTAATCTCACTCCTGCTGGATTCAGCAGCAACTATTCACACTGCACCTGAGCATCACTGGGGCTGGTTTATCTTCAGGCTTAGGAACAAGTCGTTCCCCAGCTGCTTGTATTTGCTCTCCATTCCCTGCCTTCCGTTAAAATTTGATATCTACAAAGAGGCCCTGGGCACAAGGTGCTGCCTCTCACAGCAGGGGCTCCTCTGCAGACTGCTGGGGCTGACAGAAAGTGGGAAAACCATGTGAAAAGTAATAATAATTAAAAAGCAGCATTCCCTTTGCTGCATGCTGCTTTGACCAGCATGACGTACCCAAAGCCACATTGGTACCTGTGGCTACAGCACTGTCACCCACTTCACCCAGGGCGTAATGAGAAACTTTGTGCAGTGGCAATGGAAAAAAACAGAATCTGCTATGCGGCATGGAAAGCTGTACTGATGGGAATAGTCATTGCTTTAATATTTAATTTGATGAGATCTAGCACTGAGAAATGGATCAGGAGCTGCCACAGCTTCAAGTGCATGCTTAGCGCTTGTGGGGGAATTTCCACAGGGTTTGCAGTGCTGTGGACTTATCTGTATTCTGCCTGGGTGACATGATAATGTATCTCATTAATTACCCGAGCACACAGAACTGTTTCCTTCCATTCCCTTTCATTAAGTAGGTTTTAAAGACTTCCAGGTGTTGCTTGGACATTGGGTTGTCATTCCAAGTATCTAGCCTCTGCTGGAGCCCAGCGTATGATCACTGCAAAACCAACGAGGGCTACTCAGATGCAAGCGGGTGGCATTTCAGAAGGGAATTTCCTTGCTTCATAAATCTGTCAGACAGTGCAATGCTTAAGTTCCAGCCTCTAACCAGCAGGAACTCCTCAGTGTTGTACAGGCTCACCAGGCATTCCTGGCAAGACAAGGAACAAAGAGCTAAGCCAGGCTGATGTAGGTATGAGACAGGTCTCACCTAAAACCTCTCCCTTCTTTGTCCTTTTAGGTGGGTCCCATTGGTACCAAACTGTGTCTGGGACTGAAACTTAGCTTGCAGCATAGCCAGTTTTCCCCTGTGCATCAGTCTTCTGCCTTCAGAAATCTATTTGCATGTTCAAGACAGTTTGGGTGTCTTCACCAAGGAGCTGGGCTTTAAGGCAGCCTGATTGCCAGTGTGCTGGCAAAGAAACACATTGGAAATGTGGATTTGTCAGAACCATAATCCAGGTAGGTCCTAGTTCCTTGCTTGTACAAAACCATCTACTTTCCATCCTGTCGTGGTTTAAACCCAGTCAGGTAACTTGTTCACTCACTCCCCCCCTTCTTTCCCTCCCCCTACTACCAGAGGGACAAAGAGGAGAATCGAAAAGAATGCAACTCCCACGGGTTGAGATAAGAACAGTTTAGTAACTAAGGTATAACACAGATCACTACTGCTACCACCAATAATAATAATGATAAAGGAAATAACAAGGGAAGAGAATACAACACCTCACCACCAGGCAACCGATAACTCACCCCCCCAGGCCCAACCAAGCACCGACCGATACCTCCTCCAACCCTGCAGACACCCAGCCCTTCCGGCTAACTCCCAGTTACATCCTGGGCATGACGTGCTGTGGTATGGAATACCTCTTTGGTCAGTTTGGGTCAGGTGTCCTGTCTCGGCTTCCTCCCGGCTTCCCCTCCTCCCTGGCAGAGCATGAGGCTCACAAAGTCCTTGGCCAAACCAAAACATCATTGTTAACAGCTCTGTTCCCAGGCCGAAAGTCAAAACACTGCACTGCACCAGCTACCAAGAAGGAGAAACATGACTGCTGCTGCTGAACCCAGGACACATCCTTATACCTACCTGTCTCTGGTCCTTCTCCATCACCCACCCCAGCAGGGCCCAAGTCCCTAGTGGCCTTTAGGGTTCAATTGTGAGCAGAAGGGCCAGACTAGGAAAGAGACTTGGTGCCTACATGCCAGTGTTTTAGCTTTGGCTGACAGATCCCGAACTGTAATCATGACTTTCCCCTCACTGGCACTCACAGCCCCCTTGGCCACTTTATTCCACTGGCACATTTTGTTCCTCAGATCCCCTGAACTTCTCCTGCTTGTGGACAAACACGGGCTGGCATGATGATGAAGTGCTTGGGAACAGTTTGCTATATCAGCCAGCCCCAGGGATGGGCCCAGGGATCCTTGCTTGGCATTGGGCAAGGTGATCCTTCTCACCTTGTTCTCCCTGCTCTCTCCCTTTGTTCTTCCCTCTCTGCCAATCTAACGAAAGCATATATGTGCCATGAGACATAGCTGCCAAGTCCCTTCTCCAAGAGTTCTCCTGATTCCTTCTGTCTGGCTGGGGGTGAGGAGGTGGGACCCCAGCACTTTACCCCAAGGGAAGAGCCCTCTGCACCATGACACATCTCACCAAGCTTGTCCTGGGGAAAAGGCATGACTTTCACCAAACTGCCTTTGTGATATGCTGTCCAAAGACATGTCTTATATTTCCCAGCCCTGTTAGCTAATAACACTGGCATATATTTTTGCTGTTCCTTGTCTCTCCTTAGCATTCACGTCCAATGCATGACCCTAAAGGCCCAGGGAAAGCAAGAATGTTGAAGAAAATACAGATATGCCTCTGCTTCTTCTTTGTCTCGGGCATTTTGTACGAGATCTCCCTGCTGTCCAGCTGCTTTTTCTCCTACATGCCTATGCCCAAGCACTTCTTCACACCTGAGCAGGTCTTGAACCTTGGCAAAAGCATCATTTTCCTGGAGACGACAGAGCGCCTGGAGCCCCCCCCACTGGTGTCCTGCTCAGTGGAGTCTGCTGCCAGGACTTACCGGGACCGGCCCGTCATCCTCTTCATGAAGGGACTTACAAATGACACAGCATTGGACTTGAACTCCAGCTATGCAGCCTTCTCGCTTTTGTCTTCTATGAAGAATGTCTTCATTTTTCCTCTCCAGATGGAAACTGTCTTCCAGGAGACCCCTCTGCTCCAGTGGTACAATCAGGTGAGCTCTATAATGAAGGGGAAATAGAAAACATTTACAAATGGGGGAGAGGAAGGGGGAAGGTCTGAAGCAGGCTTCAAATGAATGATAAAAACCAGAACTGGCTTTGTGAAATTAGTCACTTTTATGTTTTGCTTTGGAATAGATACACTCTGGCTGCGTTTTGCAGTGTATTCATTGATTTGTTTATTGAACACATTATCAGCATTTCCCCTCCGCCCTATCTGGAGAATCAGATATTTTGGCAAACGAAACACTGGTAAAAATAGACTGCATACGTATTTTGATAAAACAGCGCTTAATAATCTGCTTCAACAGAAGCTGGTTAAACAAAATGAGCTGCCTGAGCACTTGTTAATGCTGCCACACACTGACAGAGCCCACAGTAGGTAAGACAAGGAAGAGATTTCAGGTTTTGTGCTCGCAATATGCAAAACCAAGGTGGGATCTTGCACCCTGGAAAGAAGTTCCTGGGAAACTGCTTGCAAGTAGCTTTTGTCAACATAGTTTGGCTCAATCAATGTGCAGGGCAGGCACATTTCCTCCAAACTCTTCCTTCTCCTGAAAAAAAAATAACTCCAAATACCAACAGTGCAAATGAAAACCCTCCAGCCTGTTTCAAAGAGCTGGGAGTGATGAGGGAGTGTGTTAAGTGGGTTGTGTCCCACTGAAATAGCAGGCAGTGAATAATGGTATCATTTATTTAACCTTGTAGGTCCCACAAAACCCATGTGAAAAGTTCCTGCATTCATTTATATTAACAAAGCATTGTTCTGCACTGCCCCCTTATCTTATACCAACACAATTCAATAGCTGGAGGAAGAGAAGGCAGCGAGTGACATTCGCAGGAGTGCAGGTGCAGTTTTATGGTGACATTTGCAGCCCAGTGGATGGATGTGGTCTGTTCTCGCCAGTGCCAACATTGTCTTACCTTTCCAACTCTGCAGGTAGTCCCAGAGCTGGAGAAGAACTGGGTCCATGTCAGCTCTGATGCCAGCCGGCTGGCACTCATTTGGAAGTATGGAGGCATCTACATGGACACAGATGTCATCTCCATCAGGCCCATCCCTGAGGAAAGCTTCCTAGCGGCACAGAAGTCACAGTTCTCCAGCAATGGGATCTTTGGCTTCCCTGCCCACCACAAGTTTATTTGGGACTGCATGGAGAACTTTGTTCTCAAGTACAACGGGAACATCTGGGGTAACCAGGGGCCCTTTTTAATGACACGGATGCTCAAGGCCATTTGCAATCTCACGGATTTCAAAGGCACTGAGGACCACAGCTGCCAGAACATCTCCTTCCTCAATCCCCAGCGTTTCTACCCAATACCATACCCAGCTTGGGGCCGGTACTATGAGGTGTGGGACAAAAGCCCCAATTTCAGCCACTCCTACGCTCTGCACTTGTGGAACTTCATGAACCACAACCGGAAAGCTGTGATTGCAGGCAGCAACACTTTGGCTGAGAAACTGTATAAAGCCTATTGCCCCACCACATACGAGGACCTGATACAAAATGCAGAGCTGGAAAATTTCACATTCTATGAGGACACTGACATGGTGTAAGGAGGAAGGGGGATGATCCTTCAAAGTGCTCCCCACCCTGGTGCCAAAACACAGTCACCACTGGTGTCAGCAGCTGGCTTTGTAGGAGAAAGACATTTTCCTAACCACCATCAGTACTCCCTTGGGATACTAAGATGCATGGGCAGAATGGTGGTGGATATCCATCAGGCATAGCCTCCAGTGACACTAGTGACAATTTTGCCTCAATTCTTTCTCCTTACAGGTGCTCATGAACCAAACCTTCCTGAATCAAATGGATTTACAGGCCTTAGTAGTGAGCTTTTCTAAGGGAAAAGTTCCTAAAGAGATGCACAGCCTCCTGGGAAGAATTCCATCTCTGCACCTCCCACCAATATTGGCTACCTACCTATGTCAGAAAAGCTGCAAAGACAACAGGCTTTGAAATGGGCTGAAGCCTCTGAGGCAAGTGTAATGAAAATGTAATAGCAGAGGATGGATGACAGCAATTGCTAATGAAGAGAAGCCCAAATCCCTGTCTTTTCATTAACCTGTGTTTTTTCTCACACACTTTTCACCCTACGTTTTTGAGAGGGACCGTACTAGTGCAAGTGAAAATAAAATGCTTAATAGACCACCACTTCTCTGGGTTTACTTTCCCCTGCATGCCCCTGGAAAATGACTCCAATTCTAGCAATGTCTGTGCTCCTGCAGTTTTATTTGGGTTCCTTACAGTCGGGGGCTGCACTGCCCCATCCTCTGACATCAGTTCAAGCTGCAAAGAGTCACATGTCTCCCTGTAAGGGAGGTGCTGAGGCACCAAGAAAGGATAGGGATGGCTGTTCAGGGCTCCCAAACCCCTCTGAAATAAATGGAGTTAAACTACCCTGGAAATGAGGTGCAGCAGCTCTTGGACCCTTGTTCAGCTGTGCAACACCCCCCCCCCCACCCTTAACCCAACAGGCCACCTCCTGCTGGAAGGTAATGCGTCCTGCTGCATTTACTTTTTTCCCAGGGTAATTCCAGATCCACCCAGTCCCCTATAAAGAAGGCCAGCTTGCAAATCTCTCCTGAGCCTGCCTGAACAGCTGTTTTTAGCTCGGAAACAGAAAGGCGGAGGTGGATCGGTCGCCCGTCATGGAATGTTTGCCATCTGCACAATGCTATCTTCTGTAAACACTGCAGCTAATGAGCATGCTGCAATCAGCAGCCTATATTCTGCATCTAGAAATGGCAGCAGGATTAATTGGGAGAAGAAAGCCCTCTGCACACAAGGGCATATGCACTTTGCTGTTCCCTTTCCTAGGGTGAAGCTCTCATGGCTCAGCATGGGGACATCAATTTCACACCCTGGTGCCGTCCACACTGGTTTAGCGTGTCGCCCCCCCCCCCCCCCCCCGCCTCATCCCATTAGAGGGGTGTTTGCCTGCTTGTGGCATCAGGAGCTGCTTTTCCTCTGACTCTGACTTCCCTGGGCTGAGGGGATTCAGGGGAGGGGTTTAAGTTTTCAGCCCATAAAGTCATATAATAACAGAATTGTTTAGCTTGGGAAAGACCTGTAAGATCATTTGATACCAACCATTAACCCAGCACTGCCAAGTCCACCATAAAACCACGTCCTTAACTGCCACATCTACACGTTTCAGTGACTTCACGAAGTTCTTCCTGTTTTGGCTTCAGACAGCCCCCAGCTGCTCCCAGCCCTTCTCACGGCACACAGCCATAGCTCCGGTCCGGTCCTCACCCCCCTTCTTCAGTTTAGCAGCAAGTGAGTATTGGCCTTTTTCTGCCCCGTGGCTCGACTCTCCATGCACCCCACTCTGGGCACGGGCTGTGCCCGTGGAAGGGAGGGACAGAGCTGGGGACTGGACAAAGACCTGACCCACTGGAGCTCCCTTTGCAGATGAGCTCAGGCGAGAAATATTTCGGAGGCTCTGCTGTGTTACATAGCGGCTCCTCTCAGATGAGGTCCGAGCCCTTCCCACTTCTCCCTCCTGCCTGCGTGCACAGCCAGGAATTCTAACAAAGCACAGCTTATGGCAGCAAGCACAGCCAACCTCCCCAAAGGTCTTCCATGGGAGGGTTTCTCCTGCACCCACCCCGTGTGAGCCCCAGGAGCTTACCTTTTAGCAAGAAGAGAAGCTGAAAAACAGGGAGGTGATGGCAGGTTTTGGGAAGGGTCTGGAGGAGGAGGGGAAGCTGCTGAAGCAGCTTGTGAGTCTGAGTCCCCTGAGAACTCTCTCCTTTGTGGTAAGGTGCCTCCCAAAGTCTTGCAGGCTCCCAAGTCAGCAGAGAGATGCTGGCACCTGGGGCCTTTAGACTTTGCAGATTAAAAAAGAAGCCCTTAAAGAGCTCATGAAGGTGAGGAAAGCCCCAGGGTGGGAGTGGGGAAGGGCAGAAGAGAAGGGAATGAGAAGAAATTTCTTTGACAAAGGCTGAGGTTTGCAGAGAAGAGGACCACCCAGCAGCTTGGCCCAGCAGCTGTGAGCTGAGACAGAAAACTCACCATCTTCCAGCCTGGAATGAAATGAAAGCCCTCATGTTCTCTGAGACCCAGCTCTTCCAGCACTATGGCACAGCTGGCTTTTGCACATTGGAGTGGAAACAGTGCAGGTGACCACCTTCAGCTCTAAGCTCTTGTGGGTGGTACAAGCTGTTCTCTCTGTAATGGACCTGGACCCCTCAAGGCTGGTATCTTTATCACCCAGTGAGCAAAATCTCAGTCCTAGTGAAGGAACACTTTGAACATTTCCCTTGTGGGTGATTAAGACAGCTTTTGCCAGCCTCTCCATTGCACCAACGGACATTGCATTACATTACAGCATGGAAGTCAAACTACCTTTTACTGCTTTACACCAGCAGAGTACTGTCCCAGGCAAAGATTGAAGAGGAAAAACAAAGTCTCCAGAGCTGGCTTCCCAGATTCCCTAATGCAGTGGCTTTACCCTCCAATCAACCTCCTGCTGAAGCCATAGCTATGCTGTCTGAGACCTCATATAGCATTTTGTAGGAAAAGGCACCTGAAGGAGGAGTTGGGGCAATCACAGCAATACTATGATTGAAGGCATTGAGTAATTGTGATTGCTGTGATTGATTGGCATTGAGGGCTGGGTGAAACACAGCTGGCTTTGGTGCCTGGAGACCTAGTTAATATTAACAAAGTTGGTCAACACAGCCCTGGGGGATGCAGTATACCCTTAGGGGAGTTTTAATTAATGGTGCCTGCAAAACCCTCCTTTATAGGAGTAGTTAATTCATGTAGCAAAACCTTCCGTGCAGGGGCCATGCACCACTACCCAACAGGTCTATGTAACATGAAGCTATGAGTCAGGGCTGAACTTAAACCTGGATATACACACACATATACCCATATATGAATGCATGTATATATAAGTACACTTCACTTTGCTGATACAATGGGTTGGGTTGCTTGACACTGTAGTGCTGCTACAGTACATATACATACATATATATATATATATATATCACATCAGGGGCAACAATGATGGTGTTTGCTGGCCATACAAACCTGGAAGAGAAGGGGCTTGCTAAGCTGGTGGTTTTGGGTAGGCACCAGAAAAGAAAAATAGCTGAGCAATCCCTAGAGGGAAACTATGGTTAACTACAATGTCACATTGATCCACAACTGTTCCCAGAGGCTTTCATGCTCTGTCTGCACTAGTATGTGACCTCTTCCCAAGTTAGCTGCAGCCTCTAAGGCTTTCCTGTCTCCTACTATATTTTGGCAGTGGAATATGAGAGAGAAGGTTGAGAAAGAAGAGAGGGTCCCGTGAAACTGGTGTAGAGCCTAAAAAGTGTTTAAAAGAGCCACCCAAGTTGATCCAGACTGGCTCAGAGCGGTCATTGGCCCTTAGTATTTACATGTAGCAGGGAGAAGCCCTGATAGGAGATGGGGCTAGAGGCAAAAAGGTACCAGATGACCTGACAAAATAGACTAGAGAGAGACAGAGATATGAACGAGCTTACCTAGGGCAGGAGAGGACCCTGTGTCCCTGACAGAGGACTTTGCAGAGTTGCAATAGGTTTGAATGATGCTGAGCTGGACTGAGCAAAACAGCCCTGTAAGGACACAGGAAGCACCATGCAGATGAAGCAATCCCAGCAGTGAGTGTAGTGAAGATGCTCGTAGGGGTGGAAAAACAGTCCTGTGGGATGGAAAATGCTCACTGGCTTGCAGACATCACTGGCTGCAGTATCAGCGTTAAGCAGCTCCACCCTGTGCAACCCCAGATAACTCCTGGGAAATCCTGTGACTGTTCCAGCGTCAAAAGAACTTGGGAACAGGATCATTTTATCCCAGCACACATGCAGGCACCATGGAAAGTGTCTCTGCTGGGCTCTCAGTTGGTAAGCCAATGGAAGGCTGGCTCAGCCTAGCAGCCCCTTGCCCTTGCTCAGCTCTGCTTATGCCACTATCACCCGGTGTGCCTGGTGGGGCCAAGCCTTGGAGAAAAGCTGGCAAGTGGAAGCCTTGGAGCCTCTCACTTGTGAACAACATTTTTAGGACTGAAATTAGGAAAAAAAGAAGCTGGTTTGGGGAACTCTTCCTGCTGCGAACAGGCAGTGACAACCATTGCCCATTCTTCCTCTGAGTCAGCAGAGCACAGCCTAGGAAAGCTTGGTTTTCTTGCACTGTGCACGCAGTTATTCAGCACCTCCTTGGGTTGACTGACCCTGTTTGTTTGGAAGCACAGCATTAGCTGCAGGCTGGGGAGGGCACGTGTTGCAGAGTGTTAGGCTGGCTGGGACTCCTGTTACCATTGTACACAGCACACCCAGCAACACACCAATACACCAACACTGCCCCTGGCTGCTTGACCAACATCCTGGGGCACTCAACCTGTGTAGGTGCCCCATCTGAACCCAAAAATATGGTAAGTGACCCTTCAGCAATAAAAAATGAACTATCTTAAAGGTGGCGGGGGGGGTGTAGCAGAGTGGAAATAGAAACAGCAGCAGCAAATCTCTCTCTAGAGACTAAGAACAACATAGGTCTATTTCACAGATTTAAAACTAGGTATTTTAATTATATTTGTTTAATTATTGTTTAGGACACTACTAAGAAAATGAGCAAACACTGCTTCTTGCAGTGGTTTAGTTTTAGGTCAGAGCAGGGCACCACAGAAGGCAGCAGACTGTTGTGATACTAAAGCATGTCCAGTTTTCATCGTGTATTGTTTTCAAAACAGGCTAATTCCATTTCCCTAAAACAGGTACCCTCAGGGGGGATTTACAGCTCCCTTCAGAATGGGTTATTATAGAGTTCCAATCTGGCAGTTTTAGAAGTCTCCCTTACCAAAAGCAGATGGTGAACAAACTGGCAGGATTTCTGTATTTCAGAATTTGGCAAGGCAGCAGGTAGTAAGGATGGGAATAGAAAATGAAAAGGATTTTTGTTTGTTGCTACATAAGGTAAGCTTGACCCTCTCCCCAGTTCCCACACTGTGTGCAGACTGGTGGGAGCTGCTGTGGACCCGGGGGGTCAGGCCTAACCTAACCAAACCTTCCCTTTTGCCTTCCAGCACTTTTCTACAGACTTTTACCACCCATTCCACCAGCCCATGACTGGGGCTGCAGGGATGCTGGGGACATCCACAGGGCTCACCATCCCAGTGGACATCCCCCCGTTCCACTTCCAGCCCCGCCGGATCAGTGTGGACTGGCGTCGCTTCAGTGCCATTGATGTGGAGCGGGTGGCCAGGGAGGTGGACGTGGCTGTGCTGCAGGAGCACATTGCCAGCATCACCTTCTGTAACCTGGATGGGGAGCGGTGCCCCCACTGCGGGCAGCCGGCAGACCCTGTCCTGCTCAAGGTGCTCAGGATGGCCCAGCTGAGCATCGAGTACCTCCTGCACTGCCAGGAGCGCCTGGGGACCAGCCTGGCCGTGCACACCCAGCGCCTGGAAGCTGCCCGTGCAGAGCTGGCTTCCACCCAGCAGCAGGCAGCAGAGCAGGTGGTGCAGCTCCAAGTGTCAAAACAGGAGAGCAGAAGATGGAAGAAGTTGCTTGCCATACAGCAGCCCCTTTTGCAAGCTGGCCCCAACATCTATTGCAAGGTGTGTGATGGAAAGGTGTAAGGGGTGTAGAGCACATCCCCATACAGGATGCTCTTTGTTGTATGCTGTATTTGTACCCTTCTGTGGCTACACCTTGGCCCCAGAGAAGGTGCTCTCCCTGGCCCTGCTACTTTCCCTGGTGCAATTGCAAAGTCACTGCCAGCTGAGAGAGAAACTCTTCTTTCATGAGGAGACAGCTACAGGTAGTCAGAGATGCACAGAATGCAGGACAAGAGGTCTGTATAGGGAGATCTCGGGAGATCCCTGTGTCCTGGAGGAACACCTCGTGCCAGGGAGACTTTAAGCATTCTCCAGTGAAAGATTTCTGGATGCTCCTGCATTTGGTGGTGATTTTGCTCTTAACCCCCACCCGGCTTTTCCCACCCTTTCAGCAGGGAGCCTGCTGGATGTGCCTTTTGTACCTGCTGCTTCGCCTTCACCAAATCAACCCACTCACTCCTGGAGAGTTAAAGCACCCAAACCACATGATTTAGGTTCATACAGCCCAATAATCCCTGCAAGCAAATGACCCCATTATAACCAGAGCCTTGGTGACTGCAATTATTGCACTATTCTGTTGGGGAAAACAGCAGTTTTTCCTGGACCATCTTGGCTTCTGCCTTCTCCTTTGGTTTCAGACAGAAGAAACTCCTAATACCCTCCTTCTATGTGCTTCCAACACAACAGCCATGTCTCTTGAGGTCGTCCCTTTTGCTCTAAAGCAGCAAAGCTTTGCCTGCCTTGCAAGGGACATAGGGAGTGCCCTTTTCTACAGATTACAGTCCCTCTACTGACTTTTCCCCTTCTTCAGTGCCACCTCTGTGATAAAGCCTTCATGAACAGCTCCTTCCTGCAAGCCCATGTGCAGCGCCGGCACGCAGAGACCACCGAGAAGGGTGAGCACTGGGACAAAGCCTTCCCTCTCTTTCCCAGGCAGGTTTTCCCACCAGAGTGACCATAGGAGGTTAAGGATAACTTCTTATAACTCCTTTCTTCTGCATTTCTGTGAACATTGACTGAATGCTCTCTGCTTACTGCATTTCCCTCAAGCACAGGTAGGACATACAGTGAAATACAAAACTGTGGTGCATTTACATCTCCATGCCCTGGTTTCCCTAAGGATCTTCTACACCCAAATATTCCATGGGATAGAGCTCCTCTGGGGAGCTTGGGAGAGTGTTTTGCTGGAATGGGAGAGGGGTTCACCTTTCCCATGGCTGTTTTTTGGCAAGAAATTGATACTTCCTTTGCAAAACGCATTGAAAACTGCAAATGCAAGACGATGTTTGGGAGGCAAGGGGCCTTGTTACAGCTTCACCTGCATCCAGCACTTAAACTTGGCAGACAAAAAAGCTGCTTTTGCTATTTGCTGGCCACACAGCCACATTTGTCATGGTCACTCCTGCAGCTCAGTTACCTGCTTCTTCACTTTGAAACCCTATACCGCTTCAGTAGGATTCTCCACCTTACCCAAACCAAAACCCCAGTAGGAGCTGACAGATCACACCCTTGCTCACAGCATCTCTGTTTCCCTGAGCTTTGCAGAGAGGAGGAAGATGAGACAGGTGGAGCAAATGGAGGACGAAGTGGAGGAGCTGAAGGCAAAATTGAGGGAGATGCAGCAGCAGCTGCAAGCAGAGAGGGAAGTGGAGAAGCTGCACAGGGAGCAGGTATGGGGCAAGGGCACTGCTGCCTGTCTGGAAAAGATGGGGTGGGAAGAGAAGTGATGAAATGCAGGGTATTTTTAAATCACAGGTGAAAAAACTGCTGCAAAATATTTTATGGTGGGTCTTGTGTTTATTTCTTTGGAAAACTTGCTCCCTTCCCCCCAGTTCCTAGGGGAAATGTTACATGGAAATAAGGACAGTGTAAGCATGCCTGCCCAGGAGGCTGTACTGCCTCAAACTCCCCTTGGTGTGCAGGCAGGCTCTGAGCAGTGATAGGAGTAATGAGAGCATTGGTGCTCATACCACTGGCACCAGGGCAAAAGCTCCAGCCTTTGGTACTTCTGCTCTGCAGCCAAGCCATGTCATGCCCTGATTTTTCCGTTCCCTTTAGGAAACAGAGAGAGCTCGACAGCGAGAAGAGGAAGGCAGGAAATATTTGGAAAGGTGGAAAGAGGAGGAGAGGACAAAGCTGCATGAAGAGATAGATGGCCTGAAGCAGCTCTTCCTCACAGCATTCAAAGACATGGCCAGCAGGAGCAGTGCCATGGAGGGGGTAAGCAAGCACAAGCAGGCGAGGGGACATCCAAGCCTTCTGCTTCATCTGGTCTAGGTGGCATCACAGGTTCACAACCCAAAGAGGCCTCATTTCTTAGTTCCTGGGGTACATAAGCATTTTGGGGTCAGAAGCAGTGGCTGACCAAGTTTGGGTTCCCCTGGAGGAAAGCGAAGCCTCCTGTGCAACACACAGCTCCTTCCTTTCCCCACTCCAGAAACTGCAGGAGCTTCATGCCAGAGAGGTGTTGGAGTCCAACCTGGGAACCCTGCGGGATGATGACACTGAGGAGGCATGGTGGCAGGCATCAGGCAGGGCAGAGAGGCAGAGGGTGGCGGTGCAGGTGAGTAGTGCTGTACCTGTGTCCTTACTGCGAATCCCAGGAGGTGCATTTGGATGGAGAGGGACCCACATCCATGCACCTCTGTGCGTCTGCTTTGTCCGGTCTTAGCTCAGGTTCAGGTAGCCACGGCCTCACACAGGTGTAGAGCATGGACAATCTGAGTCCAGAAATGGGTCCTGAAGGGTGCAGATGTCATGTCACAGTCGTAGGTCAGCCTGCTTATTGCAAGGAAGCCCATCCTCACCAGAGCACTGCAGAAGTTCACCATATAGAAAAGCACTTAAATAAACAAAATACATTTATTTACTTAAATAGGAGCAATCAGCCTCCTTCTCAATGTCTAAAAAGATCTGAAGAAGACTTTACTGTACATGGTACCCCTGAGCATGGAGTGAGTTAGGAACAGCACTGCTGTTATGGTGCCAACCTTCTTTCAGTACCCAAAGGGAAGCTGAATTTCTCTGAGCATGGATGCCCCCAATCCACAAGCCAAGGAGCGAAAAGCCCATGTATTTAATTTGGCAGAGGGCAGAGCAGAGGTAGGAACTGAAGGACTTGCACAGGAAGAGCAGTGCATAGGAAGAACAGCACACAGGAAGTCCAGACAGGTGCCAGATGCCCTTGCCAGCTCCCAAGCACCTCACTCAGAAAAGGCTTCATTTCCTTTATGGTTCAAATCCAGAGATTTTAGGTCTTTTCAGAAGAACTGGAGATGCTCTCTCTGCAGATCACCCCAGTAAGTGGTAGGAAGAAAAAGCAGGGCTACACACTTCCAATGAGCCTTGGCTGGACTTCAAAGCCATGTTATGAAGGGGAAAGAATAAAAGAAATGCAGTGACCAAAGCCACATCCTATCACAGCTGATGAGAAGACACAAGCTTGCCACCAGCAGACTTTGAAGGTGGCCATACCTCTTCTGCAAAGCCAGTTCTGTCTTTTGGAAGGCATCTTAATAATGAATAAAAAATCCAGAGAGCTGCCCTTGCTGGAGAAGGGAAGAGGTGGCTCCAGACCTATTTTTACCATGTTCAAGTCTCCTTGTTAATTTCTTGCCCCTTTTAATTGAAGAAAAAGAACACGACACCCCGTGACGCCCCATCACAGGACCAGTGGGCAGTTATGGACCGTGTCCATCAGCAAATGGATGCCCCCAGCACCCATCTCAGGGAGCAGCCCAGACTCACCAAGTCCCAGGAGAAGAAGGAAAGTAAAAATAAAAAAGAACAAGGTCTCAGTTCATCAGGAAGTTTTAAGCAGGTATTTAAGCAACCTTAAAACATTTACTGAATCAAGACTAAGCGTAATTTCAACCCCATTCTGTAATGCTTTGCTACATTTGGCTATTTTTGCACTCATTGAACATGAAGCATGACATGAATATCATTGGCACAAATCATGCCCACCAGGGTGTAGGTCACCAGAGCAACACTTTGCATTGCAATTGCATCAGATCTGCAGATAACACATATATGTAACAGAATGGCATCTGATGTGCTAGCGACCATATTATGGAAGGGAAAGTCCCTAAGCTGACCTCTTACATGGTCTCCTTAGTAGGAATAGCTCTTGGGGAGCCTATGTGCCCACTTTAGGCTCTTGCTATTTTCTGCTGCTTTTTTGAATACATTTAATACTTTCCAGAGAGAGAGGAAAAATTACCCCAAATTATAGACAAAGAAATTATCTTTGAATGATGCCCAGTCTATTTCTTTACAGATCAAGCTGCTCTCTGCAGGAAAACCTGAAGGTAATGACTGCATTTTTAAAGTGAATCAATTTGTGTCTAGCTAAGTCTTTCATAGCTAACAGCCCTTCAGACCACAATTTCTTCTCTGTCTCTCTTCACAAAAGTGTGCCATGAAGTCTTCTCCAGGGAGCTGGCTGTCTGCCCTCTCACGGAGTGGACATCTTTCAGTCCCTTGATGATTGGCTGCAACAGCATACACCACAGATCTGATTGCTTGTGCAAAACTAACTTGTCTCTTAGGTGGGTTTTGCATTATAGCTATACCCCAAAGGAATGAGATTTCAATCAAGTACTCACAGCAGATGACCTTGCCTCCTCCAAAATTAAGCCAGTGGCTATTTGCATAAAAACAAGGAGCTGAGGCATGTTGTGGTTTCTTCCTTACAGTCTGGGTTTTCTATAATCAAGTGCCAGGGAAAGAAAGCGGGGACTTCTCAGCTTCCTCATGCCTGCAACACAGCTGCAGACCCGGCCAGGTGCTGCTGCTCAGAAAACATAAACCAGGAATGGCTGTTAGCAAATACTCAGGGGGTACATCACTGACCCCAACCCTGAAGATGGCTGTTTGCCCATTGACATAATCCAGTCAGCAGTCTTGGTGGGAAAGCCCCTTGGTTTCATGGTGCCAGACCTGAGCCAAAGGAACACTTGTGTCCATACTTTCTGTATAGTAAAAGCAGGTGGCAATCAACACTTGCTTCTGTGCTGGGGCCTCAGCTCCTCTTTGACTCTCAGTCTCCTTTCTTCCCTGCAGTGACCCAGGAGGTGACCAAAGTGGAAGCTGATGAAAAGTCAGCAGGTGGGTACCAGAGTTTGAACCATCGCTATTCTGAGAGCACCAGGATGAAACTGGTGTTTGGCTTCAGGTGTTGCACAGGGAGGACAAGCAGTGCTGTGCAAAGCTGACTGTGATGAGGTGGTGGGCTGGGGGCAGAGGGAGTCAGCTTACTGTTCCCCTCTCAGTTATACAGACTACAACAGCACCATGACCAGCCCTGCTGCCAATGGGAAAACTGTTCCAGGCAGCTACTTGGACAAAGGTGGGATTTTAGAGAAGTTGTGGACAGGGATTAATCAAATTAGAGGAGAAAGTTGCCCCTTTTCAGAGGGATGTAGTTTGCTGAGAGCAATCAGTTTCTTGCTCTGGGACTGGTGGGACCTGTATCTGCAAAGACGAAAAGGATCCCACCAGCCCCATTCCCAGGGCACACCCAGTGCATCACTGCACTGGTACCAGCACCACCTACCTTTACTCCAGGCAGTGAGGAGGCCACCCAGGGTGGGAAGCAGAGGCTGCTGGAAGCCCTGTGGAGAAACCCAAACCTCCTGAAGCAGTTTCGCCACATCCTGGAAGAAGTGCTGGAGGAAAAGCTGGAGAGCATGGGCGTCAAGAGGGTAAGTCTGCCCTTTCTGTGCCAGCATTTCCAGTGCCAGCCCAGTGCAGGAACACAAAAACTGCTCTGAACTGATTAATTTTTTTTTTTTTTTTTTTTTGGGGGGGGGGAGAGCAACTGAAATATTAACAGTCAGTAAAAGAAAAAAAAAGTAATCCCCATCTGGAGTAATGACTCTCCGAGAGGCAAATGGGAAGGTGGAGGCAGAATCACACAGTAGCACAGGGAATAAACCACTGTGCTCCCATCTCTGAGGCTGGTTATTAGTATCTCTCCAGCAAATCTTTCTCACAAGCAGCCTTTCATATGCTAAATTACCCAGGCCTCCCTCTCTTCTAGGGAAGGAGGGTGTTTGAGGGCACAGCAGCCCCTGTCATGGGGATTTCAAGGGGACTTTCACTGTCCAAGTACTTTTCATGCCAAGCATATTAAGTAGTACCTCCTTCCCGAGCTCCTGGCAATGCAACACCACCACCTAGCACCTTGCAGAGACGGTGCAAGCGCAGAGAGCACGCAGGCAGCAGGGATCCACATTAATCCATCGACCCATGTTTCTGAGCAAGGCAGCATTTCTGGGTTTAGGTCCTGAAGGCACAAAGACAAAGCAGTGATTGAATGACTTTCTGTGTGATTGTTTTCTGGAGGTGCTTTTAAGGAGCACTCCTGGGTTCATTTCACGTAGGCTGAAGCCCTGGCATGTCCCCCATTTCCCCAGCATGTGGGAAACTGATGCAGTGGCATCTAAAGCAGCGGAGGTGCCCAAAGCCAGTGTCACAAACTAACACCCCCATTCACCCTTCTCATCATTTTACACCTCTAGAAGCCCAGGACATTCATGGTCACAAAACCTCCTTGAGCTATAAATACATGCTAAGAGAAAATGCTGCACTTACTTACCCTGTAGCCTAGAAATTGCCCCAAATAACTGAGATTTACTCTTCAGCAGTCTTTCACCAAAACAGGTGAGGGCTTTGCACATGTGGGCTGTTTGCACAGGATACATTGTGCCAGCGAAATGAGAGGTGTCAGGGCTGGTGAGAGGGTCCTTGGGTTTTAGACAGGGCCTGAAGCTTGCAGGATGCTCTTGAGATATGGATAATTCTGCCAAGGGCTTGTTTCCACATGCACCCCACCACCACCCCACCCACCACCACCCCCGGTGCTGTGGGAGGACAATGCCAGGCTCCTCAGCTGCCCTCTGCTTTAGGTTGCAAAGGGAATCTCCACTCGGACCTACAAAAGACTCCAGGCTCTGGTCAGGCTTCAGCAGCAACAGAAGGCTGTGAAATTTCCTGGTCTCCTCCACCTGAGGGATGAGTTGGTCCAAGCTCTGATGGGGAAAGTCAGGCGATGCAAGAAGTCCAGCAGTGCTTTGCCTCAGCAGCTCTCTGCCATCCCAGGTACAGTGACCTCCTGTCCCTTCCAGGTACCAACCATGGGGATCTGTGGCCACCCACTGATGGCCATGGCATGCTCTTCTTGCAACATGACAGAGAAGGGCAGCAAAAGGCATTTTGGGCGATGCAAGTCTCTGCAATTTCTCTCTGTATATTGACCTATGTGGGTTGTTCTGACATATTCAGGAAAAAACATCAGCTGTCCCCAAAAGCCCCAGCAGAGTGAAACGCAGGTCTGGGAGTGCTTGCAAATCCCTTTTGCCCTCTTTTTCTATGCAGCCCCATGTTGGGTAGGCTGCATGGCTCCTCCAAGGGCAGCCTACAGGACTATCAAGAAATGGGTGGTGATTCTCCATGCTCTCAATATTGCTTTCCAGCTCAAAGCCTGAAGACTCCCAGGTCCCTTCATGGGTCGAAGCCCATGAGTATACCAGCTGCAGTAGAGCCTGAAGCCACAGTGATCCCTCACCCTGTGTCTTGGAGCAGAGCCCTCTTCACGTACAGCCCCTCAAGGGCTCCTTGGGGCACTATGGGGACCAGCAGACCCCACCGAGTTGTCCCACGAAGGAGGTGAGTCCCACCATCTCCTTTTGATGCCCAGGTAGGCAGTGCCCAAGGACCCTAAATCTGGCCCTAAGTATGCTGCATGCTTCCCAAACAGTAGCACCTTTGGAAAGTGCTGAGTGGTGGGTGATGTGGCACCACAGAGGGTTTTGTTTGGAAACAAACTGGAGTCTCCCTGCTTGTTTGAGCTGACTCAAACAACTCAGCAAAGTCAGACCTGAGGGCTTGTACCCACCATATGGCGCTGGACACAAACAAGGGACATTTCCCTCTGGTGTTTGGCTCCTTCTTCCCTTCCCAGAACCTGTGCAAGGGGATGAACAAACTCTCTTGGGGGTTTGGAGCAAAAATAGTAAAGTTGTAAAATAAAAGCTTGCAGACGATGCACAGAAGAAATACTGTAAGAGGATATGAGTTGGCAGCAGAGAAGAGGAGCTCACCTGTGACCAAGAGCAGGTGAGGAAAAGAAGTTACTTATTTCCTCCAAGAGCAAGAGAAAGCCAGATTGAGGTTTTAAACTCAAGCAAAGCAATAGCAAACACATGCAAGGTATGGGTGTATTTGTTGAGATGCTAGCAGCAATATGTTTGCAGTCAGTGGGTGTGATGGACCTGTCCAAGTCCATGGGGACCATGAGGTTTCTCCATGGGGTGCTCTCCTCAGGGCTGGATCATAGTCCAGAACATCACAGAGCTTCCTTGCCTCTGCTTCAGGAGTGGGGAAGAGGGATGCCAAAGCAACCCCGCATCTGACCCATCTCTGCATTCCAGCTCAGAAGTGATGCTGAGAGGGAAGCAGCTCAGTCTGTCCCCCGTGAAGCCAGCGCTCTCTGCAGTGGTGCCGGGTGATGAGACTGACTCTGATGGGTCAGACCTGGACTCGCTGGAGGAAACTGCTGGTTCAGGTACCGCCTGTTCTTGTAGCAACTGCTGTGGGTTAGTGAAGGGGTGGGAACAACCCAGGTTAGTACCACCAGTGCCACCGTGTCACCTTCTTCCTGGGGTTGAAGTGGAACAAATTGTACCCCACCCATACCCAGCCAGGCAACAGGGCACTGATGGCTTTATCTATCAGCAACTTTTGTACCTGACCCTGCCAGGGTATTTTATAGGATCTTATAATAGTTTGGGTTGGAAGGGACCTTAAAGCTCATCAGTTCCAACCCCCTGCCATGGGCAGGGACACCTTCCACTAGACCAGGTTGCTCCAAGCTCCGTCCAGCCTGACCTTGAGCACTGCCAGGGATGGGGCAGCCACAGCTTCTCTGGGCACCTGTGCCAGCGCCTCAGCACCCTCACAGGGAAGAGCTTCTTCCTAATACCTAATCTAAATCTCCCCTCTTTCAGCTTAAAGCTCTTACCTCTTTTCCTGTCACTATATGCCCTTGTAGTGACAAAAACCCCCTTCAGGCATTGGTATTAGCCCCTTTTTCCTAGGGCACAGTAGATCTTCAGCTCTTCCTTTGCACAGGGGGAAACTGGACTGTCTAGAGGATTCAGGGAACCCCACAAGACCCAAAGGGCTGACAAACATAAGAAGGAAAGCTTGTTTTAACAGTTGGCTGTATGCTGTAAAACCTGTTGGGAACCACGTGCAGGAGATGATGTGGGGACTCTCCTGTGGCCCCTCAGGGAATTTAGGAGCAGTGGCAGGCGCCTCCCACCTATGCATTAACCACAGACATCAGCAAGTATTCCTTGCACATGGCTGTGGTGTGTCCTAGGCCAAAAAAGAGATGTTGGTGCTGCATCATACACCACTGACCTGGGCTGGGTGTGCGGAGATTTCCTCCAGCATCCCCTCTCACACAGGGGTGTTATTCACCCAGTGCTTGCTCAGGGAGGGAAACCCCCCATGCTTCATCCTATGCACAAAACATTTGCTTCCTGAAACAGCTCCGTTGGGATGGGTCCAGGCAGTGCTAGTGACTTTAGGCTATTTAGAAAGCAGCTCACCTTGGGGTGCCTGGTGGCCCCCTCCCTTCTCATCCACGTGTGCCATTACCTTGCCTTGGTGCTCCCTGTTTAACCGGCTCTGCCCTGCATAGGGACAGCCATGTCCAGGATGGTGAGGCTTTTGGAGAGATGCCTGGATGCAGTGGCACCGGGACCACCCAGCAGGGTGAAACTCTTCCCAGGTGGGAGCTCGGCATCCCCCAGCACTGGCCAGCCCACCAAGAAACTCCAGGTATCTTGTGCAAATGGCTATGGGGACAATTTCTTATCATCTTCGACACCTCCATGTCCTCCTTATGTTGAGAACACCAGAACCGCACACTATACTCCAAGTGAGGTCTCACAAGAGCAGAGCAGAGAGGCAGGATCACCTCCTTCAACCTGCTGGTTGTGCTTCTTTTGATGCAGCCCAGGATACGCTTGGCTTTCTGGGCTGCAAGCGCACACTGAAGGCAGCTCATGTTCATTTTTCTCATAGACCAACACCCCCAAGTCTTTCTCTGCAGGGTGCTCTGAATCTCTCCTCTGCCCAACCTGTAGCTGTGCCTGGGATTGCTCCCACCCAGGTGCAGGACCTTGCACTTTGCTTGGTTGAGGCTCCCTTGGTGGCTCATGCTGTTCTGAATTGAGGCTCCTGGACACTGTGTTTCCTCTTGCTCTGATATTGAAGGCATCCTTTCTGGTGCTACTCACCCTGGCAAATGTTTGTTCACTCACCCTCTTTGTAGAGGGAGAAATCAGGATTCACATAATTGGGAGCAAAACAGTAAGAGCCGGAGAATCAAATTGAGAGAAGGTCTCTGGAACAAATCTAGTGATAATTGGAGTGATGCAATGGCAATTAAATTGATGCAATTAAATTACTAAAATGGGACTTAAACATAACCTCTATTTATGAGGCAGAGCTGATGTAATTAAATTGATGGCAGTGTCAGAATCACATTGCTTTTTTTAGGAAGAAAAAAAAGGCCTTCCTTCCTGGAGGGCCCAGCCAAGCCATCACTGATATTTTGGGAACCACCTCGGTCCCAAAGGCCCCTCAGAGCCAGGCTGCAAGGGGGACAACACGTGGTGACAGGAAAGTGACAATGCTTTGCCAGCAGCCACTGGATGGTGCCACAAGATCAGAAACGGGCAGGAGCTGCTTTGCAGCCTTCCCCGGGCTGCCCCTCTTTTTGGCAATATCCCAACACTGAGGCTTTCCTAGACAGCACAGGGAGTCGTGTCGTCCCCGGAGAGCCGCTGTGGGTCGTAGCAAGAAGGACAAATGCTGCGTGGTCTGAAAAGCAGTGATTTCTGCTCTCCCTTCATCATGCACGTTAAGCAGTAACACAATGTCTGACAGTGCCATGAGGCTTTTTGAGCCCCAAAAGCCATGAGCTTCACATCCCATAGGCTGGATCCAACTCTCCGCACCAGACACAGCCTAGCACTTGTGTGTGGCTTTTTTATTCTTTAAAGCACTCCAGAAAACAGAGTCAGGAAGGGGAGAAAGCAGCTTTCCTTCTTGCTGCATCTCTCTTTGCTGGTTCTCTGAGGTTGATGAAAAGGGTCTTGTTTTCTGCTCTGGGAGGAACCTGGCCTGAATGCACTTGGACAGACAGAGTAGCAAGCCACAAGTTGCTGATTCCTTCTTCCTTTCCTTCTTGAATAGATGGAAACTCCAACCCAAAGGATAATTTTTTGCATTCTAAAACTGACCACATACACTAAACTCTGCTGATAGCGTTCATCAACGTAGATTTAGTTCATTTTCGTAATCCTCTCTGTATTTTGTGCTTTTGGAGCAGTGCATTTATGATCCTGATCCCTTAAAAGTATGACATTTTGGAAAATGCAATGGGAAAAACTGTCACTTCTCAATTTATCTTCTCTTTTCTAACCCATTCCACGGCTGGTTCAGACTTCTACTATTCCCTATTTCTAACATTTGCGTGTGGGTTTTAATGCTAGGGAGCAGAAAGCCCAGCCAGATCTAAGCAGAACACTGTATATAAACATGATTTCAGCAAACTGTTCACAAACATCCAGACCCCATTTCCTCCCCATATTTTGCAAACCCCCATGTCTCCTGGTATGTTCTCTCACCTGTGTGCTTCTATGCATGGTTCTGTAGCTCCGTACATTGAAAATAATTATTTTCCATTTTAATAATTCAAGTTTTAAGAGCTATACCCGGCTTGTGTTTTTTGTTGCTTACAGTGTTATTGCCAGATGTGTTACTTTATGCTAATTAACAGCTGCTCTTTTTGGTGAGTGTTGATCACAATAAACACAGCTTTTAATGAATTAAATAAAGGAGGGATGTTTTCCCAAACCAATGGGGAAAGAAGTTTCTGCCCAAACCAGCAAATGGGTAGTGAAATGGCAAAGCAGGAGTTCTTTTGCCTTGACTACGTGGCAAACTTGGTGCCAAGGCAGGTGCCCTGCCCAGCACTAAAATCTAAATCACACCCATCCTGCCAGCTGCTGATCAAACCCTGCCAGCCCCAGGTCTGGCTGCTTTTACTGCTCCTGCACATATTCTCCTGCTGACCAGCACATGAATTGCTCTTACTTTCTTTTTACCAACAATTTTGAAGCCTGAGGTGCTTTTAAGTCATTGCAGTGAGCTTCATGCACTCAATGCCAAGCCCAGATGGTGACAGAAAGGTGGAGAAAAGTGTCCCCTGAGTTTGGGAAACTCCAAAAATAGGTGAGAGCCTTGTGCTAAAAGAAAGGTGATACTCTTGCAAACAAATAAATATAGACACAGACAAAGCCAAATGGCAGAGAATGCTCAGTGGACAAAGAAGAGCCTGAAGATTCACTTGGGTTATCACAGGTGATGGGCTCTGAGAAGAGAAAATGAAAGGGAGAAGCAACTCTGAGATGAGCTCCATCATCAGTGTGCCTTGTCCAGAAAAGAATTTGTTTTCTTTTCAGTATTTTTTCAATTTTTTCAAATTTTTTCCCTCTGTTGCTTCATGGACTCCTTCTGAGATAAGCAACTGCTCGTGTACCCCTTTTCAGGATATTTTTTTGATGCCATCAAATTGGACCACATTGTTATCCCTGCTGGGGTGCACGATACTGAACCAGCGGAGAGCAGCAGAGATGCTCCCCAATCAGGTGTGTTGCTGCATCCTGAATGCAAAACAAAGCAGAATAAAACAAAACCAACAGAAAGCACACAGTGGAAAACAAAGTCAGAAGTGCAAGTGGGGACTCTTGCTCGCAGCCGAGGGTAAATAGGCAGATGGGTGTCCTGGTATTCCCTTTGCACAAAGATTTCTTTGTGACTGAATTAAGGAAACGAACTTGGCTTCTCCTGCAGGAAAACAACAATGGAACAAGAGCCTCCTCCAAAATTCATTTCCCTCAACCTGTGAGGATGCTACAATGCTCTAAGACAGCAAGACTTTGTTAACAGTGGAAGCAGGCAAACCACAGGCACCCTGCCCTCACGCTGCCAGTGCTTCTCAGAGCCTGATGACATATCCCCTTAACTCTCAAGTCTTCACACCTGTTCCTCGGGTCAAATCCAGCCCACCAGCCTGCTGCTTGTTCATGGGCAGTAAAGAAGGTGGTGATGCAGGCTTGGTCCATGGGCTGGAGCACACATGCCCATCCATGCTGCAAGGTCAGGCCCTTGCCAAGAATTTAATGCCATTAGAGTGTCATGGTCTTTAAAATACCGTACTTTGTGTTTTGTCTTTATCAGTGACATTTGTCTTTGTGGGGCTCTAATTATTGGTAATAGTTCTATAAAGGATGGATATATATGGGACAATTAGTAGATATTCAAACCACAGCATTAACGATCTCTGAATGCAGTGCAACTCTCCCAAATAATACCAAGCTGGAAAAAAAAAAAAGAAAGAAAAGTCATGTCAAATTTATTCAGCTAGAATATCTCACCCAGAGAGCTATTCTCCCATCATATTTGGGGCAAGCACAGTGTCATAAATCTTAGTGCTATTAATCAGTAGGCTCATTCATCTCTGTTCAGCTATATAAAAGCAATAACCTTGTCACTATAGGAAGGAAGATTGGGCTTTTAATTGCATATAGATTTCAGGAGAGTTCTTATCCATAGTCCAATTTGTAGCTTCAGATACGTGTCTTCGCTTCCCTTGGTCAAAGTCCACACAAATCTACAGTGCTCTTACATACTTATAAATGTTGCAGAAGCTCAGAAAGAAACTATATAGAGCTCTTCTGGCAGATAATACACACAGCCTTTTCAGAACTTGCTCTAGTAGACAAGCCTATATTTAATTAGTTCCTCTGAAACAGGATATACATTTTTCAGAAGGCAATCAAATTTACAGAAACAAACCCATTTCTGAGTGCAGGCACACATACACCCACATGCTTCACCAGTCACAGTTTTCCTGACTCATCTCCCTTGGCTCTGTAAGAGCTATCAAATGCATCCTTTGCCCCGCAGTTTATTATCAATAAAGGCAAAATAATTGAAGGGAGAGGGAGGGTCTTTCCTTCCTCACCATCAGCAAGAGCAGGAGGAAATACTGAATTTATTCATGGGGTCAAGAGAGCTGCATATCTGGGTTCCAATAATTATTTCCAGGTTTTACTCAGATGAAGACTTCTAGAGGCACAGACCTCCTGTTGCTGTGTGATGGGTCAAGCCACCAAACCCAGTCCAGCACAGCAAATATTTAATTTCTCCACCAAAACTCCAACCAGGCAGCAAAGCAGGATAGCATTCCTCTGCATGCCTTGGAATGGCACTGTACTCTCTAGGAGTTTCTGCCTGCAGGATGACCTGGTGAGAACAGCATGCTGCTCCTTTCAGCAGCATAGTTAAGCATTTGGTGCTGAGTTTCTGAGCCCAATTTCATCCCTAAACGTCTCCCTGCAGTGCACAGCATAGGGTGTAGAGGCTGTGTTTTGGGTGAGTGACCCCAGGGTACCCCCCAAACCAGCATATAGGCTGGGCATCCCCCCTCCCTATGCAGCTGGCCCTTAGCACTGTGGGCTGTGGCATGGGGTTTTGTGTCCTTTGCATGCTGGCATTGGGACATAACAGCACTGGGATACAATAAGCTGTCTCCAAGAAAATGCTGAGTCATTCTGGAGTGCTTTTGGAGCTTCTTTTTTCTAAAGTCCAGTAAATTATTAGGGTATCCACATATTTTTTTGGCCTGCAGAAGAAAGCCTGGAAAAGGGAACTTGGTTCTCAGTAAAGACCCAGAGCTTTCCCTAAGCTGGTGGTTTCAGCTTCAGGGCTTTCAGACCACAGATCAGTGCAGTTGAAAGGGAGATATTTGGGCCCATGTCCCAAGAGAGGGAAACACCACATGCTGACTGCAGCAGGAACCATAGCTCAGTGGCTGCAGATGCTGGTTCTCCCCACACTGTCATTCCCCTGGTGCACGATGCTCACCACTCATGGTACTCATCACATGAGAAGGTCAATTATGGCCACAAACAGAGAGGTGCAGCTGTAACATTAGGTGTTATTACACTGCAAACAGGCTCATAAATTATTCTCTGCTTTGGAATCTGATTTATTGTTTTATCAGTAAAGTTCACTACAATTTTTTTTTTTATACTGCAGGATTTCAGCAGAGGTAAGGAAATGAAAACTGATGCTGGAAGATCAGAAATCAACTGAGGGCAAGAATTCCTGCTACACCTCTGTTTCAGCTCTCTGCCACCCTCCATAATGCTCCCGCCTGCAATCTTGTCATCTACACACTTGCACACATCAAAGCGAAACCGAGAGATAGCTGACTCGGTGAGTTTGTCAGAGTATTTGTGTTGCATATAAAATAAATGTAACTTTCAAAGGTGCTTACTTGTGATTTTATGAGTGCACCTTTTTTTGTTCTAATGCAGTTGGAAACCTGATTTCTATTTTTTCTGGGTGTTTTTCTGTATTTTTCATTGCCCTGTGTACCTTTACCTAATCACCACTTACGTGTTTCCTATCTAAATTAAACATTCCTGTGCTTTTCAGCCTCTTTTCAGTGGAGGCTGTCAGGAGTGAGAGCATACCAGCAATTTTTCTGCCCTCCTAAGAACAATGAAGTATTTACAAGTGTTTAATTGCTACCTTGAAAGTTGGGTGGATGCTGGCCTGGCCAAAGTGGCCTCAAACCCAAAAAGAACCATGCACTTGCTGAACTGTATTCCTCAGCAAGCCCAGGGTCTCAGCAAGGACTTCTGATTTCATTGCGTCAGTGGGTTGGGGTCCCCTGATGCTTATTCATCTGCTTTTCTGATATCTTGTCTCAGCATAAAACTAACTATGTCTCACAAAGAAGAAAAAATAATTGTCGTCTATTTTTTATCTCAACCACACGCACTTGCCTATACTGCTCCAAAGAACCTGCAGAACCCAAAGCTGGGGCGAGTTCAGCTGAGTGGGAAGGTCTATAGCTGCTGCTTGTGACAAGGAAAGAACAAGAGAAAACAGTGATTTTGGTCTTAAAGACTTTTTCAGTTTTAATATTAATGTAAAAAAGAAAAAAAAACAACAACAACAACAAAAAAAAAAAAACAAAACATACATCCAGCACGCAAAAAAAACAAAAGACAGAAAAGCTATGTCTATACTGAGAGATGGGGACAAAACCATTCTACAGAATATCAGTGTTTTTAGAATAGGACAGGATTTACCTCTGCAAAAATAAACTGTTCTCCTTTAAAAACATATCCTTAAGACAAGTCTTTTGCTAATATGAAAGGGAGAGTCAGCACTGACATCCAGCAGAGATTTCCACGTGTTAGTAGCAGGAGCCAACATCCAGCCTGAGATGGGACCAAGAGTTTCTGTTGAATGGAAACTCTTCCCACCATGGTAGCCATCTCCTCCAGCTATCAGCCCCTAGGGCTGCACCTTACTAGGCATTGCCTTCTCCTCTCACTGACCTGCCCGAAGTGCAGTAAATCCACATCTCCTGGACCTGCACTGGAGATGTGCATCTTAGTGGATCTGGAGAACTTACGGTTATGGAGAGGTGATGGTTATGGACAGCTGGTATGGTTTGTGTTCACCCTCACCAAGAGCACTGATGTTCAGTGAGACAGCCTGGTCCCCTTATTCATACAAGCCACCAGAGATGCCAGGTAGACCTACCAAAGGTTCAGCTTTGAAGAAACGTTCATCTCTACCTCTGATTCCTTCAGAACATGAAACTACTCAAGGGATTATCAGCATTTCACCAAAACAATTTTGCCAATGAACTCCTACAGAGAACATATAATTATTATAATTGAGACTAAAACCTATTGCAGATAGCTATCAAAAAGGCTGCTTTGGAGGTTTTGGACCTCTTCTTTCTCTCCATCTTATCCCTCAGTACCCTTTGATCTGCTCATAGGCGCTTTTCAGAACTTCACTAAGAACTACGTGGGAGCTACATGGGAGGACATGCTAAAGGCACACAGTTCTCCCTTCCCACATAAGCTCTTGTGTTTCTTCCTCTGACCCCTTCAAATAAACTTCCTCTCTGATAGATTGGCTAGAAGAGGCAATTTCCCACTAAGGAGTTAATCTTCACATCACTGGGAGAAGAATTAACACAAGAAAGTTGTGATGTCAGTGTGGAGTTACACACCTAATGCTCCCTGGGATTTCTGCTCCAAATGTAACTCTAATTAATTCTAAATAAGAAATTCTTCTGGCTTCATTAAAGATGACATCTGCAGGAACACTGGTCGCACACAGAGGTTTTCAGCTATTACAGCAAATATCTAGCATAAGAATAACAATGGATTACACATATTCCCTAGAGAGATCAGAAGAAATAAATACACTTTGGTATCACAGGTTATAGCAAATGTCTAACATAAATCAGATTAAGTATCACAGCAGATCAGCATTGTAGTACAACCAGCAAAGCAAAGGTGTGCCTGAGTAGAAAGAGTCACCGGGGTGGAAAATGCCGTGACTATGGGGTCTGTAAGCATTTGCCACAGCCAGAGGGATACAACTGAATATAAATACTCAGCAGAATAACGTAGGAGACTACTAGATTATAGTTTTTGCTTTTCAACCTGCTAAAAAATACCCTCATACAAAAGCCAAAACCTCAAGTGTCAAAACCAGATTAGAGTACTCTATCATTCCAACAAAACACTTTTTTTCTGATGATTGGAGAACAGTATCACAGGATACTGTTTATCTCTCCAGACTCTGAGAAAGTACAGGATGACACTGCAAAACTGTATGAAAGCCTGATCAAAGGGGTAGCATCACTTTTACATCTGGGCTATTATTAAATCGGAATTTTAACCTATTAGAAGAATCAGAAAAGATCACAAGGCATAATCCTGGTACCAGATATCAGAGTTTATACATAAAATACGAGCAAACTGTTCTACTCTGACAACATTAAAAGGCATTACTTTTTTTATAGACCTCCTTGTGGTAGGCAAACTAGCAGGCAGTCAAATAAAACAGATGGTCATAACAAGCTAGGATAAAACCCCAGAGTAGTGAAAATGTGATAGAAAACACAATCCTATTTACAAACTGTTTTGTTTGCATGTACTTTTTGCTTCTGAAGTTAAAAATATTTTATAAAATATAGCGCAAATCAAGCCCAGAAAGTCTACTAGACATAGTCATATTTTGAAGGGTATGAGCGTCTTCCATCCTCACTTCGAGCAGCTTCTTCATATCCTGCACCTTTTTTAGTCTTTGTTTCAGGCTCATACCCTGAAGCAACCTTATACGGACCCGTTCTGTAGGAGATATTCCGTCCTGAAGCATTGTAGGATACTGCTTTGTAACTAAAAGAGACACAAAGGATGGGATCAGCCATCTGGAAGGTCTGTAACTACCCAGTGTTTCATCCTCTGTTCCTGTTTGCCATTGGATTTTAGGCAACTTTGTACTGTGTCATAACTTGGAGACACTCAATGAACTCAGAGCAAACCATCCATGGCAGTCTGCAAGTGTCTTTTAAGTTTATTAAAAAACTTATGCTTTCTTTCCCATGAGTAAATCCTTGATTGAAGTACCCACCCACAATAACCAGCTACATGGGTGTACAATGCCCTGCCTGATGTAAATCATAGCTCAGCTGATGCAATCTACACATGCTGGTGACATGCAATGCAATTTACAATCAAAGCTGCAATTAATGGGCCTGAATAAGCCAGCACACTGCACATATTGATTTTAAGGTTGATCACTCCTGCCCTCTCTATTTGTTTACAAGTCACATAGTCAGGGAAAGGAAATGGTTACTTTTGACCCATGATACAGGGCTATCATCATGGTGACTCTTACAGCAGGGGTATTATGCGTAGCTATATCCTGTGGCGTGATGGCTGTATGCAGTCTGGACACCCAAGGTTTCCTGCAATGCCTTCCCATGTCTACCACAAATAAGCTTACCGGGATTCTTCTGGAATCAGCCCTCTGCAAGCCAGGCACATCATGATGCCTCCTACGAGGGCCAGACCACCTGCCACCCAGCCAACAAAGAGGGCTGAGCCAAAGGTATACCTGCAAAACACAAAGACATTGCTGGTGAGGACTGTGACAGTGGGCTAGTCTGCTTCTTCTGAAATGCACTGAACATTATCATTCTCCCTTTGGCCCTGCAGAAGCTCCTGTGAGCACCATCCCACTTGCCAGCTCATCCTCAATGGACTCTTTACCTCCTTCTTGAGCTGTGTGAACAAAGAAATCCCAGCCAATTTGCTGGGACAAATTATCTCCAGTGCAGATAATAAAGAGACTCAATAAATCTTCCGAGTCCTGGGACCAGACTAATATGCAACCAGAATTTGCTTTTCCTTAAGGTGCAGCCCACCCTGCCCCTGAGGGAAATCTGCACTGTGGAGCACCCTGAGCTAGTTGACCACCTACCTGTTCTGGACATTCTGATACATTCCTTGGTACATGTTGGCTGTGGACATCCAGAAGTTTGTGACCAGCATATTGGCAAACACGGACACCCCAGTGATAGCACAAAGACCTGAGACCAGACAAAGAGACAGACTGAGACCCACGTAGTTCACCTTTGGCCTTGAGGAAACAGCTTAAAGTTCTGGAAGAGTGGTTGAGATGCTGCTTTGTGTCCCAGCATGTTCAGCGTAAGTGCGGACCCACAATGTGTTTTCTCACAGAAATGAGTTAAACAGATCATTTTAGCGGCTGAAAGTACCCATTAGTTCAGTTCTAGAAAACTGTTTTACAGTGAAAAACATGGCCAAAAGATTTCATAACAGAAATTAGATTTTGCATGGGAAAACACCCTCTCTTTCTCACATGGAAGAGGAGATATATTTGTTTCACCACTAGGTAGTGATGCCTACAGGCAGCAGGCAGCCTGGAAGACCAGAATGAAGAGGCAGGAACTTCTTTCACTCATCTGCAAAGGTGATCATCGTGATGCCCAGCCCAGCAGCAATGGCATTATTATTTGCTATTTCACTATTCTTTTTCTATTCTTTTTATTTTTTATTATTCTAGTTTCCTCTTTCAAACTTCTGTTTATTGCACATCTTAAAGTTGTATTGTCTCATATCCCAACAAAAGTTAAGAGCCATTCAACTATAAGGATTTTAAATAGGGACATTCTCCTTCCCTTAACTAGGATATGGATTTGATTACTCATCTGCAAAAAATTGTGAGAAAACCTGTAAGTGATGTATTAAGCATTTTACAATTTCAAGGTAGCTGGGCAACACTGGACATTCCTACAGCCCTCCAGATAACCCATGGTATTTAAAAATTGCAAGTTAAGCTACTGCAACTCTGAGTCTTCATAAAATTACTATGTATAAAGCCTGCAACCCTTCAAAAAAACATTATGTACAAATAAAAGATATATTAGTACATGACAACAGCACACATACAACAAAAAAATGAGAGAGATTTTCTTTTTTATCTGTCGGCTGCTTTTTCAACCTTCTACGTTGTGTCACATACAAACTTTTGGTTTTCTTTTACTAAACAGAGGTAGAAACCACTTGACCCCAGGAGGCCAGGCTGGAAGACAAATGCCAATAACTTCATGCAAGCATCAGTGCTCTGGGTTGCTCCGGAGCATCTGCTACCTATGACCAGAAGTGTGTAAAGACTTGGCCAGTCCTCAATTCCAGGCAACTGCAATGCCTCATACATGAGGGACACAACACCATCCACTTACCAGCAACAATAAACATAATGCCAGAGGTCAGAGTCATGCTGGCTTTTGCAGAATCCTCCATGTTGCCAATACGAATGCATTTCAGAGCAAAAATGCACACAAGGAGGCCAAGGATGCCCAGGACAATACCCACGATCATGAGGGCCCTCACAGCCTGGAACATTGCTGCAAAACAAATCAACAAGGGTCACACTGAGTGTCTGAAATGACATTTGTCAGAGCCTAGGAGGTTTTTGAACATTGTTTCTGTCAAAAAATAAAAATATTAAAGAAGAAAACCTTGGGAAATGGGCACTGGGTCTACTCTTTGGATCGTCTGGGGCACCTCTGGAAATGTGGCTGTTTGTCAAGAGTTTGATGGCTTAGACATAAATTTTTGTAAATGCTCATTAACAACAGTTGTAATTTATTCAGCTAAAATTCATGGGGAGGAGTTTGTGTACATTTGGGATAAGAATGGCTTCATAAACAAATTAAATTGAGAAAGCTTTATTTTTTTATTCTCCCCAAGCAGTGATGAAAGCAGGCAGCTCCACCCAGCTATCCATATTTCCAACTAATGTGCTACTCAAAATGGAGTTCTGTAAGTTCCTGCTTTACAGTAAAACACATGGCACAGAGGAAGAGGAATATCACCTTGACAAACATTACACATACACCAAGAAATAGCAACAAAGCTTTGGCAATGACCTGCCCCAGCATATCATTTCCATGTAATTTGTAATATCAGTCCTGTATTCATTAATACAACATGTAAATACTCTAGACCCAAATTTGTTTAGTAGCCTGCCATCAAGGTGGGAATGCTTTGTTGGAGGCAGGCTGTGATGTTGGTGGGTCATGCCCATGGGAGCTGAGAGCTGCTGTCTGTCAGCAGAAGATGGCAAAAACCCTCCAGACTCCCCTTGAATAGAGAAAAGAAGAGGGAAAACCAAGGGGAATCTTATACCTTTTGAAAAGCAGAAGAGAAGGGAGAAGGCCATGCACTTGAATACCAAGGTGATTTTCTAATAAGATGGCACGTGGCCCATCTTGCCTGAAATTCCGTGCTGGCCCCAGACATTTCTCCTCCCTGCCTGTGCAAGTGTACCTGGCAGAGACAGAAGGCACCAGTGCTGGCAGAACATTAGGAGAGGGTGGTCAAAGGTATTTCGAGGGCTGTTGCGATTTGGCTGGGATACTTTGCAGCCTCTTCTTGCTGTTCGATGACCACTAGCAACCCTGAGTTTGGCTTTGATGCTCCCCACATGACTGACCATCTTCAGGGAAGATAATGTGGGCTAGTGTCCAACTGAGAAGGGCAGGCAACATATTTTACAGCCCCAGGGACTTCATTCAACCTGCCTGTCACCTGTTTTTATGGGATGGCCAGGATCACCATGGTGCCCAAGGGTCCCATATGGCCCAACTGCAGCAGGAGGCATTGGAGCTGTAGAGCAGGGAACAGACCCCTCTGGCCTTGCACAGATTGGAAGAATGGTCTATAAACCCTTCCAGGAGGGCAAGGGTGGGTGCTGGGGTGCCCACGTGGGTCTCCTTGCCTGTGGGGTACTACAAACTTGAACAGAACCATGCTGGCACCATGATGCATGAGGAAGCAGGCAGTCTGCCATCCCACAGGCTGGGAATATACCACCTTCTCCCATCTGGCAGTCCCACTGGGGCTGCTGTTCTTATGACTCAATTTGTCCTTATCAGCTGATAACAAGTGCTAACGAGCCTGGGGTTTTCAATCTCCCATTCATCAGCCCCCAGGTGCAAGCTCATTAGTTATTCATCAGAGAACAAGAAGCTGGTGGATATGTCTTATCAGCCCTCAAAGGTTGCTCACACAGCACCTGATGCAAAGCAGAAAGCTGCAAAGAAAAGAAAATCACAACATTCATTTGTCTTTACAGTCATTTAAGTTTTCTTTGCAACTGCTTTTGTTTCAGGCAGGCAGGCAGGCAGGAGAGGCTGATACTCCAAGGCAGCATAAGACACTACAGATCACGATGGAAGGTCCTTGTCCCCAAGATAATCCTTCATTCCTGAGATACTTCCTACAGACATCACTGTGGTGGTCTCAACCAATCAAGAAGTGATCCTAAGCTAAGACCTCACAGAGACATTGTGGGTTCCCAGGAGAGATGTTCCCAGTGCCTTAAGCACCTGTGGAAGGACGCAACAGGCAGGCCAAGCCAAACAGCTCCTGGGACATTGCTCTTCTCCTGGAGCACTGAAGTCCCAGTGTGGTGAATCTCCATTGAAAAAGAGCAATGCTGTTGCAAAGGGGAGAGGGAGGAACTCAGCAGGACACAACAGAAAAAATGCAAAATAGCCATCATCAGTAATTCCTCTCTCCATGATGTTGACTTAGGCACCATGTCCACAAAGGAACAGAAAGGAGAAGAAACTGCTCCCAGGTCTGCTGTGACATAAAGGCCTCTCCACTTGGCTCATGGGAATGAAAGCGAGAGCTGTTTAGAAAGAGAGCACTGCAGTTTCAAGTGAATTTTGGTATCCATCAAGAGTCCTCTGAATAGAGTGGCTTTCCAAAGGTAAATGACCTCCCCTAGAAGGAAGGAGTGGAAGGGCCTAGACAAACAAAATAGGAGACTAAAGGGAAAAAAACGTGTCAGGAATCAGGAGCAGTAGGTAACAAACAACCCTATAGTTAAAAGCAAGCACAGAAACTACTTGCTATTGTTGCATACACACTTTGCATGCTGTAGGATAGCTTTGCTTCTACCTGCACACATGCGGTTGCTCTTTTGAACAACTGATTTCCATACAAAGGGATGATGTGCACAGAAATTCATAAAAATGCAAGCTTATTCACCAAAATAGATGTCAGTGATCTGAAACTTGCATCACTATGTTTGTCTGATCTAAGTGAAACTGAAAAGCTGTATTTTTCCTCACTATTGATGTGAGTAGTGAGAAGTGGGCGAAGTAAAACAACTTAAAGTCATCACGTGCATTTCTGTTACTAATACAAAAGTGGAAATCAAACTTTATGACTAGTTATGATTTATGGAATATAAAACAGTTTAGGGGGAAAATGAGGGTTTAAAATTAACCAGATTCAAGCAGGGGCATTCCATCTTTATGTTTTAAGGTACTTATCAACTAAACAGACACATAAAGAGAGCAAAACTGAAAGATGATCTCTCAGACACAACAGAAAATGTCTGTGACTGCTTTACACATTTCCCTATTGCTATATTATCTAAAAATAACATTAAAAGTAAAATCTTGATTATGATAAATTGGCATCAAAATATGGTTACCATTGCCTCATTGCTCTTTTAAAACACAATCACTTTCGTATGGCATTATAAAGACATGTATATATATACCGATCAACATTTGCATATATAGCTTAATAAATATATTTTCTAGTCTTCAAAACAAGTGGTCCCATAGAAGAAGTGACCTCAATCATCAGTTTTGCCCTTCCAAATGGAACAGGACTCACCTAACAGTCTTGAAGCTGGCTACATGGAAACACATTTATTCCATCAGACCCCTCAGGACGGTCAAAAAGCAACCAATGCAGACAACACAGTGGTCTTCAACAAAACTCTCCCTCCTGCCTCACAGTTGGGAAGCAAGGTTGGCATCACTAAGGATACAGGTCTGTAAGCCCCCATCATACTCTTATCATGCAAGGGGGCTGAAACCATGATGCTCATCCAGAGCTCACCCACACACACTCCCAAGTGGTAAACGCCACTGAATAAAGGTATTATTTTGGTAAAACCTATGCACATATCTTTACGCTCGTACACTGGGAAGCTAGAAAACTTTATTCCTAGCAAAGTGCTTTAAGATATCTGCTCCTAGTTTTGGACGAAAACTGTGCAGAGTTACAGGATAGCTGGGTTAAACCTGGTGCATCTTTTGCCCCTACCTGGCAGCCCAAGAATGGTGAAATATGGCCGGCACTCTGTAAAGCCGGAGCTCTGCCGCACGCAGCTCCTCCACAGTCCCTGATATTGGAAGACAGCCGTGACCGGGTTGTCATACAAGTCCTGTGTGCTCCACATATCCATGGCAGTGGCCACCATGCACCCCGCAACACCCAGTGACGAAATGATGAACCCCATCACCTGGCAGATGGTCGTGGACATGGTGGGTCCCTCGGGGAGAGGAGGTGAGACGGCCCCGATGAAGCTGCAGACCTAATGGGAGCACCAAGTCCTCCTGAATGAGCCACCAGAAATGCAGCAGGTCTTATCAGATGCTTTCCATTGAGCGGTGTGTTTACTCAAAGTGTTTTTGCAAGATAGTCCAGTTTCACTCTCGCCAGGTAGGTTTGTACTGGCAGGGCCCAAGGTATTAGCTTTTGTCCTTTAGAAGTGCTTGTCCTTCCCCCGCTAAGCAGCCATGCTCCATTGAGAGTTGGGCAACCCACTTGGAACATGCGCTGTCCCTCCACCGAAACCTTTTGCTGTCTTTTGGGCTTCTCCTACGTGCTTGGCACAGTGCAAACCTGCTAAGAGGGGTAAAGCGAAGGACCATGTTTCCCAGGTGAACTCAGCACCTATCCCACGTCACCACCTCCATGGCCCTCTGCTTATGCAGAGTAGAGTAGATCTACCATCAGACCAAGACAGTGATACCGCTGCATCTGGCCATCCTTGCAGTTATCCTCACAAGAGGCACGGAGATAGATAAGGATGGCAAGTGGTGAACTATACAGGGCCACCAGCTTCACCCAGGGAACAAACAGGGATGTGGGACATGGCCACTCCTTGCAGTCACTTCAAGCATCACTGAGGTTGCCTCAGATGTTGACCATGGCACAACCCAGGACACCAAGCCAAGAGCCCCAGACTGATCCAGCAAAACTCCTGCAACCTTGCTCTTCTCTTGCCCACATCCCAATCACCTGTCATGTGGCCCCACTGAAACCTGTGTGGGGACAAGGAGAAAGAGGGCTCAGGGACCATTTGGAAAGTGTCTTTTCACAGGTGTTTGTTTGTATTTGTTTGTTGGTGGAATGATCCTAGAAAAGGGGGTGGGGAATATAAAAATGAGGAAATTAATTATCTCTTTGCACAGTGGAGAAGTGCTGGACTCAGGGGAGCAATATAAATTCACCGTGCCACTCTGCCGATGGAGTGCAGCGAGGTACAAGGACCTTCCAGACTTAATGCTCATCTAATACCCTGCTCCGACTGGTTTACTTCAACCCTGACCCAGAAACAAAATTCCCGATTTAACCAGTCCCCATATGTTCTGTGCCACAGGCACTATCAAATCATTGCTTGGCTGTGAACAGTGTGAAAGCCACCAGGAAGAGAAGAGAGGCTGATTTCTGTGGCTGGATGAGTTACAGTGGGGTTCTGACTTCTGGAGAATGACCATTTAAGTTGCCCCTTCTGCTTTTGTTGCTATGCCAGCAAGCTGGTGGGCAGCAGACAGATTCACTAGACTCTTCTGTAGCAGCCAGAGCACAATCCTACGTCTAGTAGCCAGAAAACACAGCCATCAAAGCCCTCCTGAGGGAGGCACAAGATGTCTTTGCTTCCAGAAATTTTGTTCTAATTTAGTAATTTTCACTGACTTTGACAAGTTTGTATCAAAAAACAACATATCTTCAACACATCTAAGGGTCACAGGTTTCTGACAAAAATAATAGCATGAATAAAAACCACAGAATTAAGCCTTCTGGAACCAGAGGTGGTAAGAGCTGCTCATCCTCAGTGAAGGAGGGGGCATGCTGACTAACATTCTTCATCTTAGAAAATTCTTTGTGATAAATCAAGGCTGGAGAAGACCCAGAAGCGGAGAGGACCCAGAAGCTGAGAGGACAATAAGTGCTAAAACAAGTAATGAGGCCAGCTCTCCATCCTAACCTTCACTGCCCCACAGCCAGAACTGTGTCCCAGTCCTGAAAAGCTGATTGCGCATAAGACCTGCTGCTCCTCTGCAGCCCTCCAGAGCTCCGGTTCTTCCTCATGCCCAGGACTTGCTACCTTCTTGCCATCTAGTGGTAGGAGACCAGATCACTTTTTCTAGGCTAGACCACTTCAAACCGTTTCCCAGAGATACATACTCCTCTGGGACACAGCCCCTATGCCAAAGGGTTGTGTGACCCTTCATCATTAGTGTATAACACTATATGTATAACTTGCAGGGCTAAAAATAAGCCCTGGGGAGGAAAAAGAAAAGGAAGGTGGAGAATACAGAGGGGAAATTTTTTTTTCCTATTTTTTTTTTCCCAAAAAACTGTATCACTATTTTTTTTTTCCTGCTAATTGGGTGGCTGCATGAATACCAGTGGAGGTGGCCCTCCCATGCACCATGCTCATGTGTTTGCTTTGCCAGGAGGGGAGCCACCACTCCTTCCTCTAACCCTTTCTGCTGGTTTCAGCTACCAAGCAGCAAAAGCAGCTCTTTAAGCCAATAGGGACCTTCTCTTCTCCTCCTCTACCATTTCACATCCCAAAGCCCCATTGCTCCTCCTCACACATCTATTGGAAAGAAGGCTAACCCCTGGAATGCTCTTAGTTGTACCCTGAGCCGGAGTCTACCACCCGGGTAGTGCTGTCTCACTAACCTTTCCTTGGAGATAACAGTTTTCTCCTGCTGATGGGGGATGTCAGTTCTCATTATCAGCCCTCTTACTCACAGGCATCAAAACTTCAGAGCAATGATGGAGCAATCAAAAAACATCATCGACAGCCTCCAGGTATGCAAGAAAGCCCAGGTGAATCAGTCTGTCTTTGATTTTGGGGGCTACATTGAATCATATCTCTGAAAGGGATAAATCGCACAGGGTTGCATATTACCCCCTGAAACTTTATGCATGATCTCCCCCCAAAATGGAGCTGAGAAAGCAATTTCAGTGATGAGGGTCATGCTGCAGTCTTAGATAAGAGGCAAACAAACACCCAACCATGCTCTACACTCCAGATGTCGTCTTTGAAGGATTATTGTGTTTTGGAGGATTGCATTTGCTCAGCCCTAAGAATATTGCCTGAGGTGCTATCCGGGCACCCCAGCACTAGCTGCTTGCCATTTCTCATGCTCTGATTAGTATCACACTACTAAACACTTGGAACTCAAAGCTTCCACAGATACCTTCCTTTGTAGTTTGTCAAAGCAAAGTTCTGGAGAAAAAACAAACTTGCTTCCATCCCAACCCTTCCCCCAGCCCATTTTCTCTGCCTTTCTGAAATGCTCTTATTTTATTTTTAATGGTTGTTTCTGAGCCACTTATGATAGGGCAAAACATGTTTCCCTTTGCAAAAAACCTCATCACCTCATTTTCCCAGCACAAGATCACCTGGGAGTTTTTATCTGAACTGTTGGCTTGGAACACAACCTGAAAAGCATTTGGGTGATAAAATAGCTGTAGAACACATCTAAGCATCTTTGCCACAACCTGATGCTCATCTCCAGCCACCCCTGGGAGATGCCTACAGCCAGGATTGGTTGAAGGATGGCAATCTCTCTCCAAGCACATTCCTCTTGCTCAGTCTCCAGCAAGGTGGCTGAATGCTGCGGCCAGAGGGCTAAGCAGTATCTAAGGAAGGGATATAGTGGGGAGACAGCTCTTGAAAAGGCCAAGCTTCCTCACCAAGAAGCAGAGAACAGGTATCCTATTCTGAGTATTGGGACGTTTCCAGTGGGTCACTCCACTGGGAAAAGGAAGGGTACTTTGTGACTGCTCCCCTCTGCAACCTGTATTTCAGCTCATACTCGCTTTATCTACGCAGGTGTTGACTCTATATTATCTCAAAAGGGTTCACTGGGCCCACTGCAATTCCTGAATGTTATCACCAGCTCTCCCAGAAAAAAATCACCTACAGCTCATGTTTGCTTTAAAATTTGCAAATATAGCTCACACCCTGCCAGCCAATTCCAGCTTGTTTAGACTGAAACAAAGCAAACCCACCCTTCTCTTTCTGTCACAGTATCACAGTATCACAGTATGCTAGAGATTGGAAGGGACCTCAAAAGATCATCTAGTCCAATCCCCCTGCCGGAGCAGGAACACCTAGATAATGTTACACAGGAATGTGTCCAGGCGGGTTTTGAATGTCTCCAGGGAAGGAGACTCCACAACCTCCCTGGGCAGCCTGTTCCAGTGTTCCATCACCCTCACTGAGAAGAAGTTTCTTCTCAAGTTTAAGTGGAACCTCTTGTGTTCCAGTTTGTACCCATTACCCCTTGTCCTGTCATTGTTTGCCACTGAATTGTCCCTCCATTGCTGTGATGACCACAGCCTCCAGGAGTGTGGCCCACTAGTCCATAGCATGAGAACCACAGAATCAGCTCAGACCCACTCTACTCCATTGGTCTTCAGATGGTCCAGAGGGGCCTTCAAGGTCCCTCAGCAAAACTGGGGTGCATGAAGCTGCATCCTTCCCTGCGTGCATATGAGCTGTAGCCCAGCCCCAAATCTCCACAGTCTCTTGCCATTTCCCTTGCCTTGCTTCTCCTATGGCCCCCAGCCCAGATCCTTGAGGAATATTTCCTTGTTGCTCACCCTTTTATGTTGTAAAGGCACAAGACAGCAGCAGGGATGCAATTCCTAACATCTGCTCGGCTCTCTGCCACCTCTCTCCACCTTGAGTGTCACTGTGAGTGGGGTGCCCAAGACCTCTTTAAGAGTCTCACATTAGCTCTATCCCCACCTCACATATGATCTTGGTAGGTTATATCAAGTCTCCAGCCACATGGGCCACCTAAATCCTTCCATGCACAAAAGTTTTAAGCAGGTTACAGCAGTTGCCTGCAGACATTTCAAAATGTGGAGCTGAAATGACTGGCTTGAAGGATTTCAAGCAGCAAGCAGAACTTGGAAGAGAGAGGCTTGGCCATGTCCATCACCAGTAGGGGATCATGATATGGCAATTAGCAGTCCCCTTACAAGCTTCAGGCATGAAACAGTTCCAGGGAACAGAAATGCTGCTTCCTCAGCAGGTGGGCTGCCCTGTCTCCACAAACCCCAAAGCAAGGCTTTTACTAGGGTTATGCCACAAAACACATGTTGATCACATGAAATAAAAGAAAACCTTGGTCAGAATTGATACAGAAGAGAAAAAAATCCAGATATGACAACATTAAAACTTCCCTCAGGGAAAATGTATGCATCTGTGCTACCCTGCACCAGCAAAACTGAAAGCAGTTGTTTTTATGCAAAAGTCTGGACAGTCACGATTACATTCCCATGGGCTATATTTACTCTGACCCCTCTAGCAACATACAACCTTTTAATAGTTGTAGAAGGTTAACAGCATGCTCTCAGACTTTCAAAGTTCGCTGTTG